CTTTTTAATTTTGTTTTCTACATGATATATTTGTTTACGTGAATTCTGACTCATTCATTTCCTAGGGAGGCGAAAACACACCTTAACGATGGTCATGGGTTAAACAAAAAATTTAAACAATAAATATTTAAGCTTTTAGCTTTTTTTTCTAGCCTACACTGATTGTTTATGATTGTTTAGCCTAAATAACAAATACTAAAATGGAATAAAAAAAATAGAGATAGAAAAAGAAGCCTTTTAAATAGTCTTACATTCTAGGCGATTTTTGTGAGAAATCTTGTGCTTAGATAGAGAAGATTTAAGTTACACACGGAGAGAGATAAATTTGAATAAAATTTGCATATTCTTAACAGTCAATGCGCAGAGTATTTTAGATGAAATGGTGTTAGCTCATAAGAAATCTCAGTGTCACACATAGATCAAGAAATAAAGCATGGTGTACTCAATATCACTGATAGCTAGTTTGTTTGAAGTCATAAGAGATCAATGGCTTAATAGTGAAATCACACATCTTCGGAAAACAAAAACACATAGAAATATGAATACAACTAAAGGTACTAAACCTTGACAGTATAAAAATGAAATAGTTAATTTGATGGAAAGATTTTTAATTTATTTATAAGCAAAAATGTCAATCATAATCAACACAAATGACATTGGGATTTTAATGGATAAAGGCAACACACTAGATTTTCAAGTGTTGGTTTGTAGGGATTTGATTGGTTACAGGATTTTCACCAAATCCCTATAAACCAACACTTGAATATCAATGAGATGCTCACTAGCTACTGGTCTTATTCAGATAGGTAGTTACCTGGGGTTCTAGTGAGAAGTCATGACCAGTAGGGTGAGACAGGTCAGGTGTGAGGAAAAATACTCGCCGAAGACATTGGCTAGCGGTCGCGCTATGTCGTGAATTGGCAGAAGTTAGAATTCATGGGCCATTGGATCGTGTCCCAGTGGCTTAATTGTATACGAGCTCGCCTTGTAACCAGAAGGTCCTGGTTTCGAACCTCAGTAGTGGGTGAGTACTGTTGAACAGTCCCAAACTGGGACGAAACAGCTGTCCAGTACTCCCAGGTTTTCCAATGGTTCTCTGACTAATGTCAGCTCATGATGAAAATCCTGTAACACTTTAGATTTATTCAAATACTGGTTATTGGTTAAAATAAGCGCCAGAATAAAACAAGAAGGCTTCTTCAAATTTTTGTTAACATTCTCTAAATAGGGAATGTTGTTTAACTAATAGTTCTAAGAAGGCAATATTTTATTTTATAAGAAATTTCATCCTAAATTAGGCAGGATTATGTTATCATTTGAAAGTGAACAGAATTCTCGCTAATTATGTAGGTGAAATGAAGATTATTGGGCAGCATACAAATAAACAACAACTAGAAGTTAAGTTTAAAAACTTGGGACATTTAAAGATTATCGAATGATAAATTTTTTAATAGACTTCTGTTTATAAGGATTCCCTTAAGTTATGGAAAATGTTTGATTGTCTACTCGGAATTTCCATATGTACTGATAGCAGCAACGCAGCATTATGGAATTGAATTGTTCTTAGTCTTCAATTAATTGTTGGGATGAAAGCCAGTGTCTAGCTCCCATTTTGTCCAGAGATAATGGATTAGATCCAGAAGTGAGGTTTGAACATCTAACCATCAGAATACCTAATGAAGACCTCTAACAATCCAAGTCCACTAGAATGTATTTCTACCACCAAAACATGTAATCTAAGTATAGACAATGACAGATGAGGGCTTGATGTCCAACTTAATGCTTAACTATGACAACAGTAACTGTTATATAATACACGAACATCCCTATGAATGAATATCTTTGTAAAAACTCGATCAGCCAAAGGTAAGATTTTACGAGTTGATCACGGATTGATATCAGTTAGAGAACCATTGAAAACCAGGGAGTACTGGACAGCTGCTGTTTCATCCTAGTTTGGGAATCATCGACAGTACGCACCCACTGGGTTTCGAACCCAGGACCTTCCGGTTACAAGGCAAGCTCGTATACCATTCAGCCACTGGGACCCGATTCAATGGCTCGTGAATTCTAACTTCTACAAATTCGTGATTTAGCGCGACCCCAACCATTGTCGTTGGTGGGACATCCATCCACACACGTGACATCTAATTGGACCTCACTGGTCACGACTTCTCACTAGAACAGCAGCTGTCCAGTACTCCCTGGTTTTCAATGGTTCTCTAACTGATATCAATCCGTGATCAACTCGTAAAACATAACTAATCCTTACAAACCAAACTATAGAAAGGTAAGATTATCAGGAAAACGAAATACTAGGAAAGTTTATTAGTCTTTTTCCTAGAAGTACTTTGTGCGAATTGGTACTATACCTGAATCTGATAACCACAAAGGTTATAAATTAAAAAAGCCATCAGATCAAATTATGTCTGTTTGTAAAGTAGTACAGTATTTCGCAAGAAACATTTTTTGCCATACTTCTAGTCATTCTGCTTAAATGTTGCCACTTCCACTGGGAAACATATGAAATAAATTTTCACTCTCACCAAACAGTTTGATAGTAATTCAGACAGATTCCCTGATTATATTATCTCTGGACAACCTGTACCCAGAATACCTGAAAAGCACTTTAAAAACCTAACCAGTTTTACCTAGACAGTTTGACTGGTTAGATTCACTGTCACAAAGCAAAAATATTAAAATTTCTCCATGTCAAATTCTTTAAAGCTTACTACCATAACTATTGCCGATGCATAAAACAAAGTATTAGCCAAAGGAGCATTGGAAAAACTGTTTCGTCCCAGTAGAGATGATGATGATGACTGATCTACAAATTCGTAACTGAAAGCTTTTGGATCGCATTTTGATGGCTGAGTAATGATATACTCGTTATGATCTTGTGATCAATCCTTGATGAGGTCTTGAGTACAGTCTACACAAAGAAGAGACAACTGTTTTGAAATAATAGCTTCGTGATTAAATCAATCAGATGAGAAAACACAATCAAATAAAAAAACCTTTTATGGCTTTCTGGTTTCCAATTGTTCTATAACTGCTATTAACCTGCAATACCAACTGTTTTAAGAGAAATCAATTTCTTAATATGTCTAGTTAGCTGAGTAATAAAATCTGACAGTTCATTCATAAACCGCAATCCCTAAAACAGTGAAACTCCAGTGGCACGTCTCATTGAACACGGAGAGGATGTAAGTAATACATATAACTGTGAATCTGACTTTCCATGTGTAGTGTGAATAGTACTGCTACCACGGAGGAGAAGTATGTAGATTTAAGGATAAATTTCATCATAGTTCAATATCTGAAATTCTAAAAATATAAAATATTCAACTTAGTTATTCGGACATAGAATGCAGCATAAGTTCTCACAAACATTTTGAGACAGTATCTGAGAAAAATGGTTCCTGAGATTATAACTCCCATTCAGAAAGGTGCTTATTTAGAAAATGAACAATCAGAACCATAGAAGACTATTCAGTAAATATGTTAGGACTCTCACCGACTATGCACATGGTCCGGGGTTTCATCCCCTGCCGACGCACACCTGATATCAATGGTTGGTCTGCAAAATTTGGGCTACCGATATCAAATGCTGAAAATTCCATACTAGTACCGAAAATACAGTGTGGAATCAGGCTGTAATCAAAAATAAAATAAATAAATACACATCTCTCAAACCATAGTTAAACAAGTCAACAGAAGCCTCTGGTTCGAAACTTGCAACGACTCAGATTTTCATTTCACCTTTAGTCGTCACTCACTGCAGAGAATCATTATTTACCTAGGGTGAATTTCCTGTTACGCCATATCTTCGTCAAGCCTCCATTTTTAATATTGGCAAACTTTTATGGTTTTATAATTCTTTTTAACAGAAATCAGAATATTAAATAAATAACCCAAGTTAGACAGTTATTTTCAACTAACCGCTATCAGTCTTGTTCTAGAAAGGCTGTATGAGATTCATTCTAAAGGTAATATCACTATTCTTCTTTCCTGATGAATCTAGTTCTGGTTATTAGTTAGATTAATTATGAGCTTATCTTCATATGTGTATGCTGGGTGAGTGAAATACTCCATTCTATGAGTTGTTTTCATTTTGTTTACTTAATTATTTTTTTAGGTGAATGTCTTATTTATCTAATCTTGAGAAAAATAAGTTATTACATCTGTTTGTCATTTGGTGAAGGTCATAATTATTTACAATGCTGAAATATATATCTTATGTGTTTTGAATTTATCCGACTTAACAAATGAAAATATTATGCAAAAAGTATTTACGCTTTTTCAACGGTGACTAACGGATGGAATTCAATATGATGCTTATGTATTTATTTGTGATATATGGCATTAAAGACAAGCACAATGTTAACAACTTTGAAGATAAACAAAAATAAATTTTCATTAACTTAGGGAAAGTAATAATGGCATACGCTATGAATGAGCACTTTTCTCATTTCCCAAATTCACTAACTCATGTTGGCTAGTTGGATTGCACTACACCGATCTTAATGATTTGCATTTCTCTTAAGGTAGACAGCTTCATCTAGAAGTTCGCGCTGAATATACATTGTCTGGAAAGTCAGTGAAAGCTTCTTAAATGAAACACTCAGCTAAGAATACACAGCATCGTGCATCGGTGGCACAGTGGTTAGGACTCTCGCCGACCCCCTGCCGACGCAAACCTGATATCAATGGTTGGCCTGTAAAATTCAGGTTACCTCTATCGCATGCTGAAAATTGCATACCTGTACCAAGAATACGGTGTTGAATCATGCTGTAATAAAAAAATCATCCATCTGATATTTAGAATTCGCCAGAAAGGTATTTTTATTGAATTCTGTGTTTCTTCTCTACTGTCTACCCTTGTAGGTATTTTCAATAATTTGAAAAAATACATTAACTAATTTTCAATTTCAATGTGTAATTTTCATTGTCGGTATAAACAAAAGAAAAATATATATTATATGTAAATAGTAGCTTACTGTCATATTACAGCAACGACCACAACAAGCTTTACGACTGCTTTCGAAACAGTGTTTTGCGTTCCAACCAGACGACAGAGCGCAGAGCAAGTAGGCTAATAAGGAAAATAGACCTATTGCTCCGACTAAACCATAAACAGCATAGTCAAGATACGGAAATCTAAAAATGATAAGATTAGTGGTAAAAGATGAGTAATATATATAAAAAAGTGAAAAAATGTACATCTTGAAACACAAACCTGCCTCATTAAACGAAGTATTAAATTTTCACTAAGCTACACTAACTGCTTTAGATTTCCTTATACAGTATTGGGCATTACATGAAGGATTTCATCATGAGATGACATCAGTTAGAGGACCACTGAAAAACCTTGGAGCACTTAACAACTGTTTCGTCCCAGTATGGAACTCTTCATCAGTAAGCACCCACCACAGGGTTCGAACCCAGGACCTTTTTGTTACAAGGTGAGCTAGTAGACCATTGAGCCACTGGGATCCGATCCAATGGTCCTTGAATTCTATCTTCTGCCAATTCACGACAACTGGATCGGGTCTCAGTGGCTCAGTGGTCTACTAGCTCACCTTGTAACAAAAAGGTCCTGGGTTCGAACCCCTGTGGTGGGTGCGTACTGGTGAAGAGTCCCAAACTAGGACTAAACAACTGTCCGGTACTCCAGGGTTTTTCAGTGGTCCTCTAACTGATGTCAGCTCATGATGAAATCCTCCATGCAGTCAAACGAAATCCTTGCAAAACCAATACTTTGAAAAATATTGGGTATGTCATCTGATCGTTCACTCATACCTAGAAACAGCCGGAATGTCTCAACATAACTATTCTGTTTGTAGATAGGGAAACAAAGTATAACCTCCGAGACCTGGATGTTAATATACTGGAAATAAGTCACTGTAATTAATTTATGTACCAATTACTTCTGTTCTATAACGCTATCTTTTGTTTTAAATGAAAGTTACGCAATCAATAAAAAAATGTATAGTAGAAAGATTCGCTTCATTTTAGCTGTACAGTACAACAATGTAATGTAATGTATGCTAGAGGTCACCTGTCATAGAAAATCATAACAAATTCTCAAATATATGGAGTTGTGTATATACGTACACAATCTCAGTGTAAATTTAAAGTAAACATTCTAACCTTCAAAAGTGTAAAATATTTAAATTCAGTGATATTTAATTTAGAAACATTCACTATATTGAGAAACTATGATGAAGTGTGATAAATGTCCAGATAAAATTAAAAACGGACAGTAGCACAGCACATTTGTTTACATGTTTCAACTACGATAACCAGTTAAATGGTACAAATTTATTATTCGATAAGCACTTTTCAATGTTTACATATCTATGTTCACTAGTTTTAATATGTAAAAATAGATTCAATGTTTCAAGCAATCTAACTGTATCAAATAGATTCTTGTACCGTTGAACATTGTATTCATTTGGCCACAAAGTTGGTAAAACTCTACAAAGTTACTTATGCAGAAAAGTTAATTAGTTACCTTTTACTATGTGTATAAAGTTAACTACTTGACTAGTATACACATTCATTAAAAAGTAATATGGGATCTCTATGTAAACCAGAACTATACTTCGTACAGATCTGCCCGAAGCAACATAGAATTACGTACGAATTTATAGGTAAATAAAAAGGCCACAGTATTCATTCACATGTGTCATTTTGCTTGCTTCTGAACTTGCTTGTAATATCAAAAAGAAGGAAGTATTTTCTGGTGAACAACTGTCTACATTAAATGAGGAGCAGGGTTTTTGGAAATATCTTGAGAATACAGTTATTTTAAAATATACAGCTGTCATTTAAAACTGGTCATCAATCTTCTTAAGTATAACTTTTGTTAATTCTAATGAAAAATTACTGACGCTTAAGCTAGAATATTACTCTATCAGTTTTGTAAAAACGAAAGTGATACAGTCACGCCTGTAGGTCCAGTAGAAGACCGCGACTGAATCAAGCTGGACAAATAGCCTCGAGTAGGTTAGTTGATAAATGACATTCTTATGCCTTTTTAACACGATTAACAAATAAATTTTAAGACAAACCTTTAGACAGTTTGAATACTGAAATATTTACAAGCACTGAAAACACAATTAGTCACACCGTACAATCTCAGAGAAAGCAAAACAAACGTTTACCCAATATTTTAAGATACATTAACTTACAGATTAGGGGCATTTAAAAGTGTAATTAGATAACGTCTCGCAAAAATAATCGCTCCACCAAAAGCACCACCACCCAGTAACACAATTATAAATCCTATCAACGATGCAATCGGTGAACTTCGAAGACAGCGTACACATGAATTATCACCTAAATAAATTGAAAACAATTAGTTTAACTGAATGAATATTTAAAAAAATATTATCGAATTATTATAAACTTCATAAACATTAAAAAAAATTAAATGACGTAACTAATCCGAGATATTCTGCTTCTGTCAAACCTTCTAAAGACACTTGAAATCGGACTCAAGCACTTTAAATTCACAAGGCTTTTAGTAATACTTTTGTCATTTCAGTTATTGCAACTTCCGTTGTGTTACTAGTGATTAATTTTGAATATTTTTAAAAGTTCATTGTTTTATCGAATCCTTACCTAATGACTTCTATACTTATCAACCAAATGCAGTTGATGTTGTGTAGAAATATTTTATTAATTGACATCACAGTGTGGCACTTGAGGATAAAATATGATTGCGTAGGTTCTCCTGGATAAAAACTTAGTGAATTACATTAGCAAGCTATATAACTTTTTAAAGATGACTTCAAAGTTCACGACAGCCATAGAAAGGCTTTTTATTGCTATGAAAAGCATAAAAGGACGTAAATTTACCAATACTGAAAAGTCAGTAATCTCTGTTTTAAATATATTTCTCTAGAGGAAGTCCATATACTTTTAAATAAAGAAACAGAGTTGCGCAAGACTAGTCTATCTTTTAAATTGTCATCTGAAAAATGTTACTAAGCAAAGTAATAATGAGTAACGTTGAGAAGAAAGGTAAAATCAGGCCTTATTTCCTGTCTCGATTAACTTTTTAAAATCTAATCAGTTTTGTTCTCCTTTGTCAGATGTTTTATTTTATTTCATAGAATTATGAATAAACTTATGTAAGATAGAAGTTATTTGCACGTCAACAAAGACAAAAGGAAAGAATGAATTCAATATTTTAAAGAATTTATTAATATACAGTTGTAGAAATAACAAGGATAAAATGGAAATGCTCTAAGGCTGTTGCAGCTGATCTGACTGTTACGGAGTTTTTAACCTAGTAAGGAGAATAGTCCTCCTAATCTGAAGGCATCTGTTCCAAGATATTGGTCGAGATTTGTTCATCAGGTATGCAATAGCGTCAGTAGGCTCACAAATAAATTTCTTTTACTTTAACACTGAAAAATGCTAGTTCAACTCTAAGTTGAAAGCGCTTTCTCAAAGTCTCAGGTTTATCAACGCTTATCATCATTCAAGAATTGTTGAATGAGCTTATAAGCTGTGAACTGGTATATGCACCAAATGTATTGAAAAAGGTTGCAAAGTTTCTTGATTATATTAGTTTTCAATTTAAGTTCTTTATGATACTGAGCTGAAATATTGAATTCCATATTAGTTTGTTTATTAGATGTATTACACAGTGAAACAGTATTGTATACTGGAAGACGTTTCGAACAAAATTTATTGTTCATAATCATATCAATTGTGGTCACACGACTTCGAAACTTGAACTTTATAGTTTTCTTTGTCGTCTCCTATTTGTCGTATGGGCAGTAGAATTTTCCATATATCTGGGACAGGTGTTGAATCATTCCTATTACATGTATTTGCAGTTGATTAGATAAAGAAAGCTTCTGTTATCAATCTCTCCCTATACCCTGTGACATTAGATTTTAAAACTGTCATCCTATCCCATCCTATTGTATGGTTGTGTGTAACTGCATGTAGTAAGTGCTATAGCTGAACTATTTTATAGATTTCTTATCTTATTTGGATTTAGCTAGGTTTTTATGTTCATCTTGTCTGACTGACCCTGTTCTACTAGTTTGACCTGACAATCATTGCAGGGTATTAGATAAACTAAATGTTTTGTTTTAAAGGCTACACAGGATCCTTTAACCGACAAAGCTTGTTTCTAATTGAGTTTGTGGGTTTGAATGCTACTTTTATTCCTGCCTTTTTAAGAATTCTTCGTAAGGCTTCCGAGGTTCCTTCCTTGTATGGAATTACTGTTGATGATTTAGATTCCTTATTTTTGGTGTCGTCATTAATATTATTATTATCACTATTATTATTACCATTATTATTATCATTATTATTGTTATCATTATCATTACTATCACTATTATCATTATTTATTTTTACATTTACTTACATATTTCTTGACTAATTTATCCGGGTAATTATTAAGTTTCAAGGCTTCTTTTATGTGTATCACTTCCTGTCTTAGATTTTCCTTGGTACTACTTAGTTTTTGTGCTCTGTCATTTAAACATTTCACTAATCCTATTTTTACTGACATAGGATGGGATGATCGGAAATCCAAATATCTGTTTAAATGTGTGGGTTTTCTGTAAACACTAGTGTTTAGCTTCTCATCTTCTTTCCTTTTTATATTGCAATCTAACATTGGAAGCTCCCCTTCCTGACTTTCCAACTCATAAGTGAATTGAATTGCCTCTACCTTCGAGTTGATGAGTTCGAAAAATCTGTCTATATCTTGTGTTCTGAGTACAGTGAATGTGTCATCTACATAACTCCATCATACTTTTGGGGTGGGGGTGAACGCTATGCTTTCCCCCCTATCCATGAATATATCTGCTACAACCGGGGATATTGGTGATCTCATGGCAACTCCCTCAGTTTGTTTGTATATTTTCCCTTGGAATTTAAATACTGTGGAAGTCAGGCAAAGAAGTCATTCACTAGTTAACTGTGTGGATTCGTGTTTAGTAATACTGTTGAGTACTTATCTCAATTAAATATAAAATCAACACAAGGTAACGGCGCATCAGTGGCACAGAGGTAGAATGCTCTTCAATAACGCATGTGGTTCGGGTTCCGATCTCCGGCCGATGCACTTCTTTACCTTGCTAAGTAAGTAATAAGACTGGTGAAGTGAGAAGGCTGGGCATGAGGCTAGCAACATCATCCCGTAAAAATAAACACCACTGCTACTGAGAATTCAGGCTTCTAGCTTGAAGCCCTATTTGCCAGTTGGAACGTAAAGGAAAAAGTAAATAAATAATATATGAAAGGTAACTATTGCAATTTTTAAGTCAAATGTTTCATTACCAGTCTGTTATTATTAACAGTTCAGTGGAGCACTCACTACTTCAGAGTCGAGTCAGGTTGCTACATATGTCATTTTGTTTTCTGTGACATTATTTATCTTTTAATAACACGAATGTTTGCAAGATTGTTAACAAGTGAAACTAGAAGATAAACGAAGATACAGTCTATGGAGATTCAGGCTATGATTGGGTACTAAATGTATTAAGACAAACGAACTCGATGAATGTAAACTTTATGTTTGAAGAATATTGTATGGAGGTGATTCTTTTTATCTCATCATGAACACAAACTCAAGTGATTTGACACATCACTTACACATATAACATCAGGCCACTACCCTTCGAATGAGCCATTTATATATTAAGTTACGGATCATAATCAGAAACGAACTTTACATATTTCCCCCACTGTCTATAAAATTACTACCATCAAGCAAGTCTTAGAGAGAAACAGACATGTGACGAAATGATAATCAGTGCAGCTGTCTGTCTTTTTGTTGAATGATAACCAGTGACCAGATGAGAAGTATCATCTGTAGGTCAAATGAAATAAGGTTGATTCAAACTCTTTTACAGTACATTTTGACGTCATATTTCAAGATTCATTGTGATGAGGTCAGCTGAAATCTCAATGCCGTTGTTTAAACTTGTAAATTCTACATCTAAAGATGGATGTGAAATCATGAAGGAGACATACGTTTTCTGAGAGTAACAAATCGAAAGCGTCTTGCATTTTAGACATTGACATACACTAATTGAAAGAGTATCATAGTTATTATGGAAAGCCAATGAGTGAAACCCCGATGAGTATCTGTACTGAAATGAATAGCTGGGGAAAAGACATGTGATACAATGCAGGCAGCTACCATAAGTTTATTTCCATTGGCAAATGAATAAATTCAGTGAGAGATGGATTTTTAGTTCAAAACAGCCTTCTGTACTATTGAGAAGTGATACTACGTCTATCAAAGGTATTACTGCTTCCGAACAGATTTTGAAATCCTGCACTAATGTGATCTAAAATATTTTCCGGTAGAGTCTATCGGTTTAGTTGCAGCAATATTGTTTAATAGGAACTTTATATGACAGTACATGAAAGGGTAACATAAGTTGCGTGATTAGTATCTTAGCTTAAATTTGACTCTTACTCAAAAAGCACTGAACAAATGTATTGTTATGTAAAGTCATTTAAACAAGAGATACAAAACACGCCCTACCGAAAGATTTCTATCGACACACAGGTTTTGACGCCGTACAACCGACTTAAGCCCCCAGTGAAAAATTTTTGAGTGATATAAAAAGACAGCAAGATTACAGCAGGAAAGATAAAGTGAAGTGGAAAAGCTGAGTACAGGGAAGTTATCACTATATTAAGAAATTTAAACCATGCAACTTAGATAACGCGACATCAAAATCAAATTCTGCCAAACTTTGCCAAGTATAGGCCAACACACAACCATCCATTGGAACAAAAACGGGTTGAAGAATGCAGAAAAAGACAGTAAACTTAACAGTCAATGAGAAATAGTCTCTGATTCAGAAATACCAACATATCTCAAAAGAAAAACTGACAATAGCCATTTGACAAGGGCATCTATCAATGTTGAACATGGCTATTAAAATGTCAAGTAGGTGACTCTCATTTCTCAGACACTGCAAAAATGTCAAAAACTTTCAGAACAGATATCTCCGAGAAATTAGTATAGCCACTTCATTCCATACTATCTACATCAATATACCCAACAGTAGAAGAATACAAAGTCATCGTTATGCAAAAACCCTATAATGGCCAAAGCCAACGCCTTATTCGTATTCGCACGAAAGAATGACAAACTAGCAGTCAGAAGACATGAAATGCATTGCTCTATTTTGTGTTCATAAGTTATGAAACCAACTAAAATGGGAAAGTGTAGAACAGAGGAAATGTTAAGAACGCCAGAGAAGTCGTGAACGCTTGAGACTCACATCTAGCCGCAGAATGTGGTTAAACTCAAATTCGTTAACTGGTAAAAAAACGTATAGTCCAAT